ATGGGATTCTGGTTCAATTGGTCATATTTTTTCTCCTATTCATATCATTTTTATACGATATGATTGTCTTGGACTGAGGTGGTTTCTGGTATTTCCTGAGCAAAAAATAGCGGCTGTTTTTATTACCAGTCATAAAATGAAGCTTAGTGGCCGTTCAGGCACGCTAATACGTGCTTCTTTTGTAATGCTCTTTCTTCTAACACGCGTAGGTACGGAAATAACCCTTCCCCCGCTAGACAGAACTAGCAATTACAATAAATTGCATATGCCGAAGATCCGTTCCTGCGGCGGTCAGAGCCTCAAGAAGGTGCTTCTGCGACGCCCATACACCACCACATCGGCTGTGGACCTTCCGACAGCTGCTGCAGCATCGAGTTCCGCTTCCTCTTCCAATGACAATCTCTCATCCACTATCGCTGCCACCGCTGGATCTGGCTCCAGCATAACCGGAAGCTCTCTTCTGCTGCCCTCAAAGCGCTTCGTTTCGCGCTTTCGTGAGTCTGATCGGAGACCAAGAGTCACCGCGCCCAATAAGACCACCTCTGAGACCAATTTGGAGGCTGCTGCCGTTATCCCTGGCTTTGGTGATGCCAGTAATGTCGGTGATATCTATGGCAGCAGCACCAGTAACAGCTACTTTAGTCGGTTAGTTTGTGTTGGTCTAAAAACAGATGAAGTCGAAGTTGATCTGTTCTTCCCTTCTATTCATCAGATTTTTGAAATTTGATAGCTGGAATGAAATTGTCTAAATGCTGATCTTAAGTAATGGTCCCGTTAGTTCCCGCTTTTTGTTTTAGCTAAGAGTGGTCAAGACATGATTCTCCATGTAGACACACGGTTTTGGTGATGTGGAACATTGATACTCATGATCTAACCTCTTCTGCTGCATGATAAACACTGGATGCGTTGTTAATTGCGCACCTTTTTTTATGTTCAGTTGCCAGCTTCGCGTCACAAATTTACGCCTTATCCTTCAAGCCCTATTTTCAGTGATGCTTAAGATGCCTGTTGTCCCATCGACTACATCATTTTATTCAAAGTTGACTCATGCTTTTATATTTGGTGCCTTTAGATTAGCTGTCTTAATAAACACTGTAGTGATATGCACATTTACAATATTGCTCTTTGCTTTTCCAAGCCATCTAACACTGAATCAGTTTTTGATGTAACCTCTAGCTCAGATGTTCAACGTCGGTATTTATTGTCTTAGCTCTTGCCTCCCCTCATTTTCGGCTACTCTGAGACGCCTAGTGTTTTGATACAGTACTAGGGCCTGTAACCATGACCTCTAACTTTTCCGCCAAGCATTATTCACGAAACATGTTCTCGATTGCCTCTTTATGTTGAACTTTATTTCCGGACGCAGCCTTCGTTTGTGTCGATTTGGTACTGTGCAACCGACTGACATTTCGAAGATCGGTTACTCTGATCGATTAACGGATCTCTTCAACACCAGAAAGGAAGACCAGGAAGAGACGACAGGATTAGAGGCAGGAGGGCTGCCCTCCCTCCCCTTGATTTTTCCACCCCTTCTCCCTTCTGCCGCTGTCAACTCCGTGGATTGTGACCGCCTCCGACCCACCACCGCTACTACCGTCACTGCCTCACTGCTGCGTGGACGCTCACCTACAGCTAAGAAAACATTGAGCGGTTCCTCTAATTCTAACGAACTGATTCTCCCTCCTATTTCATGCACAGCAAGAGCAAATCTTACCTGGAGTGGAGGCGAAGGTACGGGAAACCCCATTTCATTCTCTTAAAGTCATTTCCATTGATCGTGCTGGACAATTACTCCTTGCTTGGCGTTTTTTCGGTTATTATGGCCCATTTTGTTGTATTGACAGAAGCACCAATTAAATTCACTTATTTTGCGGAAAGAAGGTGGATGTTTACCAACGAGAAATGACGCCTTTCAGAGAATTCGTCATCTTGAGGAGATTTTTTTATAAAAGTCCTATTATGTATTTTTTATGGCAGGGCTAATTCCGTTTAGTACTTATTTGTCCCTTCTGAAATGCTACCATTTTGACCATATGCTTTTGAATGAGTCTGAAGTGTTGGTGTAACTTCTGTCGGCGAAAAGCGTTCTGTTGTTTGAAATATGCACATGTTCATTGACCCATTAACTTCTCATTTTTAGTTAGAAAGATGTGTTTTGGGTGCTGGTTGATTAAACTTGTAGCAAGACTAATGGAAATTAGGTGTGCCTAGAGACTTATCCAGGCTTCGGACTTACAATGAATGGTTTGTGAGATGCTTGTTTACATTCCTCTTTTTCGAACGGTTTCCTTTATGGTGCAAAAGTTGGTGGGGTCTATATCTTTCCTCTCAGTCGTATGCATTTCTCCACATCTTGGCAGTCATGTTATTCGTCGCATTTGAAGGAGTCGATTCGACTCGATTCTTGGCACAAGTCGTTTTTTTTGCTGCACATCATTGCTTCGCCTATGATAACGATTTGCCTGCCCAGCTGGGGAAAGTAGTGAAACGCTCTTCAACCAGACAAAAGTCCCTATATGCTTGTGTGCAAGTGAAAGAGGGCATGAAGAAGGGGGCCGAATGCATGACTAGCCTGTGAAATTATCTAGGCTGAGTCACCTCCAATGTAAGGAAAGGTGTAGAAAACATCAGCTAAAGGCCATTTGCTGCTTTCCAACAAGCCTTTTTCTACTGCATTATTTTATATCTAAGTTGGACGGTCGCCTGCACATGAGGGTACTTCGTCCGCTGCATAATGAGCCCGATGCACCGAAGGCTTGTGTTCCATCTTGCTTTATCTTGGAAACTACCTTCTCTCACCAAGATTAATTATTTAGCCACAAGAATTCTCAACCGCTCCCGCTTTTGCGGTAGAGTATGTGTGGTGGTTGGCTCACCATAATCATGACTCGCATTGTGCCACCACAGGTTCTACTCACGCCACCGTGCGAGTTGCAGAAGACGAACACCGGTCTCAGTCTCCACCGCCGAGGCAGTCATCTCTCACAAAAACGCGAAAGGACTCCTCAGAGCCTCCTCGTAGGTCACCAAGACCGAAGGCGAATCGGTGTGCTAGCTGCAATCGCAAAACTGGTCTCGTTGACTCCTACATCTGCAGGTCCGTGTCGTCAGCTCGTTCTTTACTTTTTATCACTTTGTGGCATCCTCCACGTTCTTACATCCAACGTTGATTTCGATTTCGCTCCATTGGTTAGTACTAGACTCTTTCGTAAAGCAGAATTGAGGGTCAGAAGCGCTCAGAGGGTTGCACGTCAGGCCTCTACGCAATCATATAAGTACCAAATGGTAAAGTTATCCTTGGGGTGTCGGAAAGGAAATAGGTAGGGTATTTCGTGGGATCATTGCAACCCCTTCTACTACAATTCTCTTTGATTGGAAAACGTTTAATACGTTCACCTCCGTGCAGAACTTTTACTGACTTGCCCATATTAAGCTCGGCGAAATGAAATTCCTGCAGTAATCGACGTAAGACAATCTGACAAGGCTGCAGTAATGTGGTTTTTGTGCAAGGTCGTGCTTGCCTCGAACCAACAAGCATACAGATTGGCACACATTATTCGACTGTTGGCGTCTAGCCAATTGGTGTTCTCTTTTTTTGCACCATAACTCGGACAATTGTGTGGGTCCGATCCGTAATACAATCTCACTAGCTTAAGCACAATCCAAAGGCAGACCGCGCAATTTGACAGTCGAATTAACAGCCAATTTCGCTGGTGTTGTGGGTGTCGTTCAATGATGCAGGCAGTAGTGGATTGAGTAACTGTAGTCAGCAAAAGGAGTGAGAAGGAAAGTTCACGTGATAGTTGGGGGATAGAATAGCAGTGCTGGCTTACATTTTATTTTCTTTGGCACATTGTAGGTGTGAACGCAACTTTTGTTCAAAGCACCGCTATGCGGAGTTGCACGCCTGCCCCTTCGACTATAAGGCGGACGCGAGACGGTACATTCGCGAGACGAATCCTGTTGTGACCGCAGCCAAGCTGCCCAAAATATGAGCTGCTGCCTTGCCGACGGTCGAGTGCTTATTTTTTGTTCGGTGTTTTATTTCTCCTTTCTGTCTAGAGTATCCTAGTTATAATTTACCGTCTACTCTCCTTTCTACCCATTTACCTGTCTTCCTTTTTCACCGCTAATGTTGCGGTTCACTCCCATTTTTGTTCTCCTTCTTCTTGTCCCCTTACCACAAACAAAATGCACTTTCCATACTTCCCTTCTGAGTGTGAATGTTGGTCGCATGAGCCCGACTTCTGTCTGCTCTCATCTGCTTCCATCCAACCGCTCAGTTTCGTTTTCTTTGTTTTGATATTCACCGCGCGCTGGTTGGTGAATGATGCCCGAGAAAAATGATCAGTGTTAGTAGAAAGGCAGTGGATTTACGTTTAATCCTCTCATTCCCTGTTCTTCCATCCTCCCCCACCTCCCTCTTCTCCGCCACACATCCGTCAGTTCGATTTCACACTTCGGGTGTTTGTGCTGACTACCTTTTCAGCCCACGTGTTGTGGCGGTGCTCCTCGGAGGAAAGGGATGGCATTGGCCATACGCAACAGCAAGCGGTTAAGGCTACATTCGGCTCGTTTGTGAGTACATACACCAACGCTTGGAATTTATGGCTTCTGGAGCATAGTATTTATGAAATAGAAGTAAGATGCCTACTTCCCAATCCACATCTCTTTCACCTCTCCTCTGTGTATGCCTATTCATTTTAGTGGTATTCGTCTTATTAGGCTCTTGGCTGTTATTTTTTACTAGTTTCTTTCCAGCATACTCACCCGAAATGAGTGTACATATATAAGCTTTCAGGATTTGAACAGAAGAGAACTGCCACTCATTTGAAGAGGTGACTCTTTCGGCGGTCAATTGTGCCATTTTGTACTTGTGAACAGCGCTGCGTCACTCTTTGACGCTCAGGTCTTTGTTCGTGGGTGTAATTGGGCAATTATCTTAGTAACCCTCTTGGCCAAATCTTTAACACTATTTAGGCTTTTGATAGTCTTTTGCAGGAGAGAAAATGGCCCTACCCTTAGGTGATTGGGCGTACTTGGGCCCGTACGACAAACTTTTGTCTGACGTCTGACTGGATCGCATATTATTAATGTGCTTTGGGCTTTGCCTCACGTGCCCTCTAGTAATGTCACATGTGTGTGTGTGTGTGTGTGTTCACCACTTGACCTCGGAGGGTGTTTACATCTCTGAGGTGGGCTTTTCACGTTGCGGATGGCCATATATATATCAATGCAGCCTTTAAAGAAAATCCAACTTGAAAGTGCGTTTTGCTTTATTTCGGAATGGAGTCTGCACTCGCAGTCACTGCTTCGCACATCTCAGGACTCATTCTGAGTTGATGCTGTTGCTTTTCCGCTCGAGTACTTTTTATGGCCGTTCATTACTTAATGCTTCGTTTGGGTGATTGAGGTCACTGAGCCTCGAGAAAATTAGAGGCAGGGGAAAGGTGGGTCGGAAGGAAAAGGACCAAGGTTGTGATTACTCTGACCGGTCTTGCACTTTTGGTCTGACAGGGCAACCAGGTCACCGAGATGCAAGCATCTTCATTGTTTGCTCAAAATATGTGCAGCAATAATGACGGGCCTGGTCTGCTTAAGGCGTACAAGAAGGCAAATGGTTTGTGTGCAACAGCCAGTTTGGTCACCATCTGTCATGTGAGCTGCAGAAGTTATTGTTGATCTAAGTCAGTTCTAGTGCAGTTCTGAGATTTTGTCCTCTCAATCGGTCCCTTAAGTACACAGTGGAAAATAAACTCTTGCATGGTGAGGAAAGTAGTCTTGTAGGCGAGTGAAAAAAAGCAAAACGAACGCCTAAATCGCATTTTTAATGCTAAGAAAGTACTTCTTCGCGAACGATCCAACCGACTCGAGCAATGATTGGCTGTCTCAGTATGGCTGAAGGTTAAAAAACTGTGCTGTTCATTTTTTCCGTTGTCATTGCTGAAATCTGCGAGGAGGAATTCACGATACGTTTCGCCTATTGCCTCCAAAATTGAAATGTGTTGAGTTTGTACTTATAAGTTCGTAAAGTATCTTTTTGAATGTTTGAATCTCCTCTTTTGCGTCCACCTCCTGGAGGTTATAAAAGCGTTCTCCCGCTTTCACCTCACATTTGAGTTCGTCCTATTGACTACCATTAGTATGGTGGCATTCATCGTGTACTACTATTTGCTGCAAGGTCAAGGTCGCTTTAATGATGTCAGTAGCAAAACAAAAGAGTTCCATCAATTAGGTCAGCATATGTATAAACTTTACTTGCTTTGTTGGTATTGAAGATGTACGAATTCATGGCCATACATGCGCATAACATCCTGTTGACAAGTCAGTTTGTCTGCCAGGTGGAGCATATGTTTAAGCCCATCAAATTAGTTTGGAACACTGGGTATCTCCTTGAGGTAGGTCCAATCTCGCCACATCAAAGTGGTCGTGATTGTAGTTTAGACCTCCCAAAATGTTTAGTGTGTATTGGTGACCTGCTGGAGTTGAGCGCTTGTGTTTACCACTAATATGCTTGCATCTTCTGCCAATCTTGGAGATCTTCTACCTCGGACATCAGTCATCCTAGAAGTGGAGCGTTGCGGCAAGTTTTCGGTGTTCTGAAAGAGCCAACAAAGCTTTGCTTTGATAGTGTGCGATGTTGAGACAGCGGTTTTTATGCATGCCTCACTTGGCAACATTGTTTTGGTCTATGCTTTTGGCAAGTGGGAAAAAACTCATCATTTTACATCACCATAGCAATGGTAAAAGCAGTAGAAAGCTATGAGTTGCTGTCATTTGTCGAGGTATGCTTCCATTGCAGAAGAAATCAGAATTACCCATGGCATCAATGACTGCGGTGCAGGCGCATCAATGGTCAATCGGACCTACGGACTGTCAATATTTGCTTTCTGATTAGGCGCCTTCTGGTCTTGTGCAAATACGCCTTCATCGCCTTTGAGCAGTCAATGTAGACAGTCCTACATATTCGCTTGTGTCGTCTGCTCTGTACCAAACATGCAAATTTTGCCGCACTACGCGTAATCTTCTTTAGGCGCTGGTCAAAATAGGTGACCCTTTTGAAAAGAGTTTCTAACTCTTTCTACTAACTGGCCTTTAGTAGATAACATTTTATAATTTTAGAAGGATGTTAATTTTCCAACGAAGTATTTTGTGTATCCATTCG